AGGGATGACAAAGGGAAAAACTCTCAAAAAAATTAGAGCAGGAAACACAGCACGACGCGTCGAAGAATTCGAAAATAAAAAAAAATGAAAAACACGCGCACATTTAGGTTYAGGAATTAGGCACTAGGCCCAAAAAAATGGCTCAAAAATATCATTTAAATATTTCATCATTATAGACTATCTTAAAAAAAAAAATTTCTCATGTTTATATAAATTTTGCACTCTGATATTTCAATGAAAAAAACCATTTGATAAGCATAATACTTCGTTGTATAACGTTTTTTCGTTGTATAACGAATTTGGTTAGAATTAAATCTATTTGTTTCCAGCACTCGGTCATTCTAAAAAAAATCCGACGCTATATGAATATTCAAGAAAATATTTCTAATTTGTGGAAAAAAAAAATGCTTCTCTTTTCTTAACATGTAAACAAATAAAAAGAAAGAAATAAAAAAAAATGTTAAACGTGTCTTTTTAACATCGAAACTGTCAAACTTTATTCAAAAAAAGGTCATTGACCACCCGACATTAATATCAAATTTGCTATGCCCGGACCATAGTGCTTTGCGCGCCTTGATGACCGTCCTTCGACAATTTRCATTGCCTTGAAAAAAAGGAGCCGGCTAGGTTCGTCAGGTTTGTTTTCAGCTGTGTTGWAARGAAAAAAACCAGTAAACTTCTCTTGTTATTCTACGTTCTCGTCAGCGTTACCGTAAAAAAAACGTAGCGTTATCTTTACGTCTACCGTTAGGCTTCTTAACGTTACCAAAAAAATTACGTTACAAGTAGATAGCTTTTATGCAATATCAGATGTGATYTGAAAAAAATATCTTTTCCATATCWCCGCGTAACTAAATCGTTATGTTACGTTACAAAAAAATTGCGTTATTGATACATGATTACGCACGGGTGCGTTAACCGTTAATAAAAAAATATCATATGCAATGATATATAAAACTTTATATTTCATATAGCTAGAAAAAAAAGCACTCATTTTTATGACGTCATGCATTTTTGTGACGTCAATTCTGAAAAAAAAAAAGAATGTTTGCGAGCCTGAAAGATACGGCGGGTGACTTGTGGAGAAAAAAAAGTAGCCCGGCCATACGTGCAATCAACAACAGCCATCACAGCAAAGAAAAAAACTAGGTTGGTCTTTCAATTTTTACGAACTGCCTGAAGACTGCCCTAAAAAAAAAGGTATCAAACATTTTATGAACGAATTATTAATACTGAACTTATATAAAAAAAACGGTTTGATCTCTGTATATATTTTAGTTAATACATTTTACCAATAAAAAAAAGCGCTCAATCGACGTCACCTTGATATAAAGAACAGCGAATACATTGAAAAAAAGTTAATGATGATATTTTAAAAGAAATTCTGATTAAAATGTTTAATTATGTTGTTATTACTACAATTATTAGATAGCAAATATTAATAATTCTGGAATGTAAAAAAACTTAGCTAAATYTAGTCTAAATGACAGAATTTGCGCTCTTTTTCAAAAAAAAAATATAAACTTGTTTGGAGAGGCGTAGTTTTGAAGTCTCGTTAGACTTTTTGGAATATAATTTTATGTAGTGACTGCTTGGTTTCTCACTCATTACAGTTTGCATATTTATTTATGAAACGATAATTACTATCATGCAATATTAGAATTGATAAAAAAAATTGACTGTATTGCCTTGTAGCCTATATCAGTTATGGTAGATTTGTGAAAAAAACATTCGAGATGGATTTGTGAGTTCAATGTTTACGAATCGTGAACAGAAAAAAAAATGTTAGAACTAATATTCAGATTTTGCACTACTTTATTCTGCGTGAAAAAAAACATTGTTTGAATTGAAAATAAAATCCATCAAATAATACACAAGTAAAAAAAAATTCTAAAAAGCACCTCGAGGCCAAAACGTTTCAAAATGTCGCCTAAAAAAAATACAACACTTCGGTCATGGCTTTCGGCCCACTTTTTAAAATATGACAAAAAAACGCGTCTTATGCTTTTGTACACGAAACCTTTTTACGTTGTCTTGCGAAAAAAATTGTGATTTAGGCTATAGTTAGCAAACGGATACTATGTTTAGGCTCAAAAAAACAGCTGTATATAGCAAACGAAATTACTGTATTGCCCTCTCAATTCGAAAAAAAAAATCTACCTTTTGCGAACGCTGCGGAAAAATGCTCTTCCAAGCAAGCAGTAAAAGAAGGTTTTGTCCAGCGTTCAGATACAGTTTAAACAGCAGGAAAAAAAAAAATAATTACAATGCGAACAGTTCTTCTGTAGAAATATACATTTTTGAAAAAAAAGTTTCAAATATATCGCACCAGGTTTAATTCATGTGCTTAAATTTTGAAAAAAAATGACTGACGTTAAATAAGTTGAGTTGCTTGGGTGTTTTTTCAGGGAAAAAAAAATCAAACATCGTGTAAAATATATGATTTTACAGCACAAAAATATTAAAAAAATGCCGTTGTCTTCGACGTTTTCTCAGTCGAAAATTAAGTTTTGTCTAAAAAAATGTATATCTTATATTTATATAAATATTAATTTCCGAGACAGCTCGTAAAAAAACTGCAAGACGTACGCAGTGAGAGTCCTTGCAGTACAATGAGTAGGCAAAAAAAAATAATCTTAAGGCTCTGTTTACTCAGAGACGGCGAATTATGAACGAAAAAAACCTGAACTAAACTTGAACCCAGCGTTTGGTGTGAKAGAAACGATGGGTTCAAGTCCTGCAATGGAATATGAACAGATATTCTACCTGCAAGTGCTTATTAAAAAAAAATTTGAGAAATTTCTTTGAATGTCATAGTAAATATAAATAAACAAACCTGTACCATGATTGGAACGACTATTTTTGGCAACCATSATAAAAAAGAAAAAAAAAAA